AGTCATGGTTTTCCCAACATGTCTCACATGACAGAGACAAGAAGATTTCACTCGCAGGCGCTTTGTTTGGAGTTGAAAAGTCTTTCACTTTTCAAGAAGCAGAGCCTCTGACCTCAGGGTGTGCGAGGACTGGCATGTTGACCTTGCCCTAGAGGACCCCGCAGCTGATGGGTTCATAGAGTGCACTACACGTTCGCATAAGGCGGCTAGGCAGGTTGCCGTACAAGCTGTGTGTATGCCACTGGTTGCTGCGGGTCGTGGAGTGTGTGACACGTGTTGGGCCATGGTGTGGTGCCGTGTTGCAGAAGCTGTTGGATTAGGTTTCAAGGACCGACCAAAAGGCCCAGTGCTGCCGGCGCCCAAGGCTGATGGCTCTTGGGGAGACAGGTCAGTCTCTTCGGGAGAGCTTTGCGCATGGCTGCGGGGCATTCTAGCAAAGGGTAACCTCGACACCCCGGGGATTGGGAGCCACAGTCTAAAGCACACTAGTTTGGCCTAGTGCAGTAAGTTTGGGATGGGCAAGTACAATCGAACTTTGCTTGGACATCACAGTTCTGGAAAGAACAGCGTCGAGGCTTACGCCCGAGATGTACTGGCACCAGCACTCCTTGAGTATTGCCGCGTGTTGGGGCAAGTAAGAAAGGGGCTCTTTGTTCCAGATTACACTCGCTCCGGCAGATTCGTCAATCCTATCCCGCATGAGCCTGGCCCGCCAAACCCCTCACTGCGTCAGGTTGAGGAGGCGTCCGACGTTGAGCCGTTCCCCGAGGGTTGGAATGACTTAGGGCGTTTGCCTAGGCCGTTAGGCTCCGTGTCCGAGCCATCACAGCTGGAGCAGCAGTGGTATGCAGAGGCTGAGGAGGTCCGGACGCAGTGTGAATCATCAGGCGCAGGTGAGCCGCCCGCCAGGGGCAATGACTGCAGTGAGGACAGTGAGTCTTCCTCTGAGTCTTCGTCTGAAGCTTCTTCTGATGGGGATGACCTGTTGGCCGAACCAGGTTTTGCAGCCGAAGTACATGAAAACCCGTGGCAGCCAGACTTGCAGTTTGCTGTGCATAAGAGGTCGAAGACTGTGCATCTTATTCCACGTGGAAGCTCCTGCGATGCATTTGTGTGTGGGCGCAAGCTCTCTGATGATTACGTTAGGGTAGATCGTGCTGTGTTCGCAGAGTCTAGGACTTGCAAGCAATGTTTGTCATCCCAGCCGTTGCGAGACATAGGTAGCTTGACATCTGCTTTGGATTCTCTGCGAAGCCGGGAGCCCTGAGCGAAAGGTCGTGTGACCGCCCGGGAAGGTGCCCGAAGGTATACGCGCGTCAGTCCGACGGAGGGCGGTGCTGTAGTTGTGTTACAGGCTGGTGCTGAGAGCGCAAAATGACAGGTGTCATGCCTAGTGTGTTTGGATGACGAGATTCGAGAGACGTCAGGGGCAGGTGCCTGCGTAAGGTTTGCTGACAATCTTTTGCGCGAAACAGGTTCGCTTCGGTTGAATCATTGTGTACTGTCGTCGTTTACCGCAATGCTTGATTTGCAGACAATCGCTTGCCACTGAACATGTTTGTTGCGGTTGAATCATTGTGTGCTGACGACTCCCACCACAGCGCTTGACTGCTAGTTTTGGACCAAATCAAACTTTATTTTTTAGCTTGAGCAGTTTTGTGATCATGGCCGACGCGAGGACTTTGACGGAAAGCGCAGCAGCTTTTGAAAGCCGGGCCAAGGAAGTTGGTTTTGTCACGGCCGAGACCGATGCTTTGAAAACCGCTGGGATCAATTCTCTGGCCCGCCTGGATTTTGCACTTTGCCCACCGGGACAGACCCCTAGCGATGCCCAGGTCGAGCAGGTATTGGGGAACCCAGCAAGTGGGGTATCCGCTGGCACTAAAGCTGCAGTGAAACGCCTTGTGTTTGAGGCCCATACTCTGATAGTTGCAGAGCTTCAGCAAAAAGTGAAGCATGGGGACGAAGGTGTGGCGTCCACTTTGGCACACGCAGAACGTGAATCAAGGATTGCAGCCCAGAAGTCTAGATTGACCGGCCTCCTTATGACAGCCGATGAAGAATGCTCTCACGACAGCTATAATCTAGTTCACTCGATGATGCAGCAGGACTCGCTCCTATACCTTCATCCAGAGAAATTCGCCACGCGTCGGGCGGAACTTCAGAGCAAGAAGCCGTCCAATGAATTGGTCCTTGATTCGAAGCAAGGCGTCACGGTCCGAGATAAACCTCTCGAGTTGCTTTGCAGCACTTCCACAGAGCTTGAAATGACTCAGGCGACGCGCAGGAGGGCTCTTGCCTTCGATCTTGTGGGATGTTGTTCGTTTGACGCCATGACTAGATACCAATCCTACCTCATTCAGAGGTTGCAGGAAGTACCCCCCCCCAGGGTACAGCAAGATCTCCTTGATCCAGGTCCTTCGAGCCGATAGGGCGGCGTTTACCCACATCGCCGAGTCCATCAAGTCTCTGAAGAGGAACCCAGACGGGAGTAAGCCACTAGACGCGGCGTTGGCCGCCTGCATTTCTGACCCGAGCGTTGCTTTTCACTTGCTTCCGCTTCCGCAGAGCTCCTCCTCCGTCCCTGACAGGCCCAAGAAGCGCAGGCGCGAGGACTCTTCTAAGGGTCGTGGCAAGGGTAAAGGCCGCGCTTTTTCCACGAAAGGGGTGAGAGTGCCAAAGGAGTTGATTGGCAAAGCCTGGCAGACCACCAAAGGGCAGCGTATCTGTTGGGACTACAATCTTGAAAAGGGTTGTACCGCGGCCGCCCCTGGCCAAGCCTGTCCAAAGGGATTGCACATATGCGCCGAGCCTGGGTGTTTCAAAGCGCGCTCGCTTACTCAGCATCCATCCTCCTGACTATCCAAGGGGATGCGTACTGTGCAGGAGCCCAGCACGGCCATGTCCAGTGCTCAGAAACTTTTGCGCAGGGTCAAAGGTAAGTCGTCTCAAAGCCTCATTTGTGTAGAGATCTTTTCGGGCACGGGGCGCTTAACTGCGTCTCTGAGACGGTTCGGGTTTGATTCTTCTTTCGGCGTAGATTGCCTGTCCGGTAAATCTGTCGCCCCGATGATTGTCTTAGATCTGCTCACTGAGCAAGGCCAGAAACATTTGTGGGAGGTTCTCAGTGAACCGCATCTCGTTTTTGTACACTTAGCCCCGCCCTGCGGGACCAGCAGCCGGGCCCGACTGCGGCAATGGAAAGGTGCGCCGCCTATCCTCCGAACTGATGCATCTCCAGATGGAGTGCCAGGCCTCAGTCCTGATCAGCGTGGTCGGGTTGACAAAGCCAACCTCTTGTACAAGATATGCACCCTTGTCTGCAAGTTTTGCCATTCCAAAGGGATCCTGTATTCCTGCGAAAACCCTTTTAATAGTTTCAGAAGCCTTTCCGAACTTTCCTTCGCGATGTGCCCCACTTCGAGACCGCCCTGCGCCATTGTATGTTTGGTAGCGCCAGACAGAAAAAGACACGTCTGGTTTAGCCAGAGCTATAGCCGAAGCCGCTCAGGAACAGCTCAAAAATGCCGGTGTTGTCTTCCCTCCTCTCCAGTTGGAGGATCTGGATGACGTTGTGCGAGCTTCCCGTGCATACTCGGGCCAGCAGACCCGAAAAGCTTTGCCTCCCATGGTTCCAGAATTTCGTTTGTGCGTCACTGTGGAAGGGCGCATGCCTGTTGTGCAGCCAGGCACGAAGTTACACAAATCCTTCACCGTTCCCACAGCCCGCCTTGCGCTGTGATCCCATCTGGGTCCAAAATTCTGCGTCAGTTTCGTCCCTGGGGTGATTGCGTGAGCTCCAGTCCGGGTGATGGAGGCGTACCCTGACCCTATACCTGTAGGTGGTTCCACTTGTGGTTTAGACCTGACCCTGTAGGTGCGGAGGTGGTGACGTGCCCTGACCCTAGGTCCCTAGAAGGTTCCAGTTGTGGTTTAGACCCTAACCCCTCACAGGGTGAAACCCCAAAGGTCCAAAAGGAAGAACATCTGATGGTCCCGAAACCGCCTGATTGCTCACCAGAGGTAGAGCAAGCAGCGTACAATCTTCTTGTGCAACATGGGCCTATTGCCACTGAACAAGTCAGGCATTTGGTGGACCTTGCGCCTGATTCTGACATGCAACGAGGTAGCAGGCTGGACCCCGAGAGCAAGGGTGATTCCTCCAAGTGTTTCATTACAGGGGCATATGTCTTCAGTGGCATGGCGGGCGTCAGATCGGTATCATTTGATTACCCATGCCTCACGGCTGCACTTGTGCGATACGTGGTGCAGCTTGACCCCACGCACACATTCACTTCTGTGGCACTTTTCCGGGATTTGAAGGCCCTCCCGCGTGCCGATGTCTTCAATGAAAAGGGGTCGGTGAATCTGATCTCGCCGCTATCAGTGTTCTCTGGAGGCGACCTGTGGGTGGCGGACCCGCAGGGGTCGCAGGTGCTCTCTGTGAAAGGCAAAGAGGTCACCGGCTCCATATTAATGGTTTCGAAAGGGACCCAGAAGTTTGTGCCACAAAATTTGCACGCCGCCATGCCCTGGTCAGGTCAGAGGGATGTAATAGTGGGATTCACCCCGGGTAGGAGGGATAGCTCACGAAGGCTGATGTTTCTTACCTCAAGGTCTTGGGGTTCAGGTTCCCTGATGATGTCCTCCAGCCGACACTTCGCCCCGAGCAGGAAGCCAAGGCGTCCGTTGCGTGGCAGCAGGGAAAAGCCGTGCTCGGGGTGTATCACAGCCCAAGTGAGTTTGTGGAGGCGGCGCTCAGAGTGCAGCGCCCTTCCAGCTTGGAAGTCCTTGTGCCCGCCGAGCTAAGAGAAGCTGTGCATCGGAACCTCCATGCCGCGCCGGATGTCCTGGCCAAAGAGCGCGCTGAAACCATCCGCAAGTGGATTGCTTGGGGAAATGAACTACAGGCTGAGGAAGACGAGCTCAAATCCTCTATGTCACCACATCGCTCAAAGATTCTGGCTGGTAAGAGGCTGAAACTTTTTGAGAAGGTTTTAGCCAGTACGGGCCATCAGGATTCAAATTTGGTGCGGGACATTTCGCAAGGTTTCAGTTTGACGGGTAGATTGCCTCGTTCCGAAGTGTTCAAGGATTGCTTTCGTCCGGCTTCCCAGACAGTTGAGATGCTGCGAGCCAGGGCGGCCAGAGCGAGAGCGGCGACCTTGGCCACCTGTGCTCCTTCGGATGTTCCGGAAATCGACCTGGGAGTAGAGGAAGCGACGCTCAAAGAAGTTTCGGAAGAGGGCCCCATGACGGTAGATCAGATTCCGGCGGACGCCATGCTTACCCGAAGGTTCGGGGTGATCCAGGGAGAGCTCAATGGTAAACCGCGTGTGCGTCCCATTGATGATTACAAAGCCTCGCAAGTCAATTCTTGTGTGACCCAGTCTGAGCAGATTACAATCCACACTCTGGATGTGATTGCAGCCACCGTCGCCTACTGGATGGGTTAAGTGCTGGGACCTTAAATCTGCGTACAAGCAGCTGGCGTTGTCTGACAATTCCCTGGAGCTGGACAGCTATTCGCTATTTATAGCCCAACTGCTAAGGGCCCTCAGGTGTATCGCCAGCTTGTGCTGCCTTTTGGCTCCATCGCGAGTGTGACTGGTTTCATTAGGTCGGCCTTAGGGTTGTGGGTGATCGCGTTAGTGCAGCTCGCGTTTGTTTGGACAACGTACTTCGATAATTTCCTGCGCCTGTCCACCCGGGCGTTGTGTGCACATTCCGATCTGATCATCAGCGTCTTTTTCCAGTTGTTCGGGTGGCGGCTCTCGAAGGATAAACTGCTTGAGTATTCATCTTGTTGCAAGGCACTGGGCATAGCCCTTGACCTTCGCCAGGCGGCTTTTGGGGTCGCCAAGATCACCAACACCGAAAGCCGTCGCAAGGAACTCCTAGAGGCGCTAGAGCAGGCTATGGCTTCGGGTAGGATGAAGCCAAAGGAATGTGAGAGACTCAAGGGAAGGTTGCAGTTCGCTTCTGGCCAAATTTTCGGCAGGAAAGCACGGGCTTGTTTGAAAGCGTTGGGCCAGCGTGCGAGGCAGAAGAGCTTTGACTTGTGAGCCCGAAGGTGTTGAAAGCGTGCGAACACCTTCAGGACCTTTTCTTCAGGGCTTTGCCTAGGGAAGTTAGGGGGTCTATGGGTGAAGTCTTCCACTGCTACGTAGATGCCTCCTTCGAGCCTGGCGGGGGCTTTTGTGGTATAGGTGGTTGCCTGTTTTCCAGCACTGGTGAGGCTGTCTCTTGGTTCGGTAGCCAAGTCGACCCGAAGTGCATTGATCTCATCCTAGAGGCCCAGGGTGAGATGAGGTCCACAGCCATATATGAGTTGGAGTGCGTCGCAGTGGCGGTTGCGCTTGAGATGTTCAAATCCTTCCTGATGCACCGATGCGTTCTGCTCTTTACAGACAACCAGGGCGTTCTGGGCACAATGGTCAGGTGCTGGTCGGACAACAGGTGTGGCAACGGGTTAGCGAGGATTGTTTGCTTGAGCGAGGAGAGCATGTTCGCTCACATTTGGTTTGAAAGGGTTCCTTCTATGAGTAATCCAGCGATGGGTACTACATCACGGCCGACCCAATAG